CCTGTTCCCACCAGCATCCAAGACCCCATCCACGATTGAACGCAGAGTTTCTTCTCATCTCCTAGATGCCTCGTCCATTCTCCTGCTGGAATAAAGCCACTAAGTACTGGGTTGGGCGGGTGGACACGTGTTCTGCCGAGCACCATTCTCTCCCCTGCCTGTGTAAGTGATACCAGGATCTTGTGACCACAGGCAGCTCATGCTCCTGAGGGCATCTGAGGCCTCTCTTTTCTGAGAAAGTCCATGGAGGCAGAGGACAGTGTATGAGTTTCCATGAAAAACCTCTTGTCAAGGATTCCAGCTATGACTCCTTCTACAGAACAGGGTAACTGGAGAGTAGCTAAGGAGAAATACATCTCCCATTTAGAAAACATCAAAAACTCTGATTGGTAAAATTAAGTGTAACAAAGATGAGAATACTTCCTGAATTAATATGTTAATTAAGATTTAATTTAATTTAAATGTCTAATATCTTCCTGTGATGTTTAAATAATTGAACAACTTGATAGTAAAAATCCAGACATATAAGCAGATAAAACTTTATTTTTTAAGTGATTGTAGAATCATATATCAGCTTATTTTTTAAAAATGAAGATCAAATAAATTTGTCATAGTGTGGATATTTCATAAATTAAAGCTATTATGAGAACTTAATATATGACAAACTAGACTTAGTAATATAAGACAAATAATGGAGAGAAGAAAATATCTGCTTAAGAATTAGTATTGGGATACCCACGCATGATATGGAGAAAAGTGAAATTAGACCTATACCTCCATACAATATAAAACATAGTGTTAGACATTTTAAAAATAGCTACCCAAAGTAGAAGAAAAAAAGTGATATATGTACTAGAGTAAATAGACTGCTATATCTAGAAAAGAGATACATTTACATCAGAACATGAAGTATATCATCATACTATAAATCTGTTCATAACACTAGTAGAACGATATAATAAATACCAAAAGGAAAACAACAAAATGAAAAACATTCAACACATATTTATTGCCCCAAATATATAAAGAATTGTTGTTAATATAAATACTCTGCTTCCACTCCAGCAGTAGTCAATGAAGATTAAAAGTTTACACAAAAGGGAAACCTTGTCAAACTGTCAGATTCAATTGAATCATATGGAATATATACAGCTTCACAGTAATTAAATTGAAATTCAAACTCATAAATAACTCACAAATAACTCTGTTTTTTTAAAGCCCGTGTTGGAGGACAGTGTGAGAGAAAGCCCATCTGAAGAGTAATTTGTCAACATGTAGCAAAAGCTACAAAACTTTAAAAATCTTAATCTATCCATTCCATTTGGGAAATATATGAGAAGAAAAAACTTAGAGGAGAAAATGAAGTTTGTGCAAGTTTCAATATAACAGCATTACTTTTCTTTTCTTTTTTTTTTTGAGTGAGTCTTTCTGTGTCGCCCAGGCTGAAGTGCAGTGGAGTGATCTCAGATCACTATGACCTCTGCCTCTCAGGTTCAAGCGATTCTCGTGCCTCAGCCTCCTGAGCTGCTGGGATTCCAGGCACGAGCCACCATGTCCGGCTAATTTTTGTATTTTTAGTAGAGATAGGGTTTTGCCATGTTAGCCAGGCTGTTCTTGAACTACTGACCTAGGTAATCTGCCAGCCTCAGCCTCCCAAAATACTGGGATTTCAGGCATGAGCCACCACACCCGGCCTATTTTTCATAATAAAAATAAGACACAATTCTAATGCACAATTAAAAGGAAAATGGAGGTTTAAAAGCAACTCTATATTACAGGATGGGATACAGTGCACTATTATAATTAAAAAGGATTACTGTGTGGATTATGCTGATCCATGGAAACCTGTAAGTGAAGTTGTGATAAAGTGGAGCAAGTGACGAATACACTGAACTCTAAGGTCTTTGGAGACGGGCCATGTCTACTTATACTCAATCGGCAGGGCTACACTTGGTTCTTGGGACACAGTGAATGCTCAACAAGAGTCTGTTGAATGAACACATACGTGGTTTATCTGTTTGTCTCTTCCGAGGTCTTGACTTTCTGTCTGCTCTGACCTCTGGCAACTTTGCACTAGTTCCTAGCTTTCATTCTGCTTATCTGGATTGCGGAACTCTAGCCTGCCCCACTCTTAGAAAAACGCATGCCCTCTGTGGCCCTGGAACCGGAGTGACTTCTGCTGTACCAGAGTCTCCAGGCCCAGGGTGACACACAGCTGCAGCTCCATAAACCTCTAACATGATGTCAGCAAACGTAATCAAGAAAAAAGCTTATAAAAACAATAAATAAACTTAGTTAAAGGTACAAATGAAAATTAGCAAACATGGGAAGATCATTGAGTAAAGAGTTTAAAGTTAAAAAGAAATTGCAGTCATTCTAGGGGAAGGAACAGTTGTATTTGAAAAGCTGTATGGTTACATGAACTGCCTAAAAAACAAGCTAAAGAAAATTAAAGCTCAAATTTATATATTTTAAGAAATTAATTGCAATCAGTTTCCTGGGATTAAATAGCATTTCCTCAACCCCAGTTGCCATTAAAAAGAGGCAAATACAGCCAAGGACTGGGTCTTCTCTGGAAGGCTGACAGCACTGACCCTCAAGAAGGCACCAGCTGACTGAGAACATTCTGCCCTGATATGTGCTGAAATTCCGCTGAGAGCAGAGTGGTACGTTAAACCCTTTAGGGGCTTACAAAAGAAGTGTCCTGTGTTTTAGAGTCACAGAGTTTTGCCAAAACAAGTATGAATTCACCTAGTCCCCCCTGCACCAGGCCTTTCCTGTGGGCACTGAGTGCCAGACACATCAATATGTAACAGCAGAATGAATGATGGAACGAACGATTGAATGAAATGAAGTGAGAGGCAGCAGTTTGTCAGATTCTATGAGGCAATCACAGCATCGAGTGACCACAGTGTCTGAGAGGATTGCCATTTATTCTCTCCGGAGCGCACGGCTCTAAGGAAGCCCATATCCAGGCAGTGAGTTCTGGTGGGGGGCGCCTTTAGATGCAAGGAGGAGGAAACGGCTCGAAATCCCTGGGCCTGAGGGCGGCCCGTGCAGGCCGGAGGGTCAAGAACGCTCCGCTGGAGGCAGCCGCCCGGTGTCTGCCCCGGCTTCAACCCGGCCTAAGGCTGCTTGTGCTATAAATACGCGGCCCACATGCCGCGGTGACACGGTGTTCCTTGGGCTCGGCGGGACAGATAACATGAATGTGCCCTTTAAATGTCCCAAGTTGCAGGGACAGCCCCCGGCCCAGCCCCGC